TCTTAACTATATCCTAAAGATAAGGGAATACACAAACTTTAAGCTAGAGAGATCATGATACGTAAAATAATATTACTTATAAGTATTGGTAAATTAAATAAACAAATTACACGCATATAAAATTGGTAAATTCAATATATAGTATCGTACTACATTTCAATTAAATTATGATTCATAATTACGATTTAATTACTATTCATATAGGAAAAAGAAATTATATTGAAATGTATAATAAATTATAAAAAATGAATATAAAACATAATACTGAAATTAATTTTTTGTTTGTTAAAAAATATGTAATAAGATGTACTTTTAAATTCAAATTGACAATAAAATATTTATTTCAAATGATATAAAGAGATATATCTAACAATTGGTAAAAAAAGAAACAGATGTATAGATTTAAGACATAACTTATATGTGATGAAGTATGCTATTAGTTTTAAAAAAAGTATGCTATTGGTTTTGTCGCATATTATATACTATTCTGGTCTTTCATGAATTATCAGTGATCATAATCCAAAGAAATAACGGTAATACATTATAGATTTATGCATAGCATTTTACTTGGATAATACTTAATTACTCATAGTTTGTAATAGAGATATCATGATACGTAAAATAATACTACCTATAACTAATGGTAAATTAAAGAAACAAATTATGGGCATAGATAATTGATAAATTCAACATATAGAATTATCCTATATTCCAATTAAATTACACTTCATAAATATGTTCTACTTGCTATTCATACATGATAAAGAAATTATATTTAAATGCAAAATAAATTGTAAAACATGATTATAAAATATAAATACTGAAATTAACTTTTATTTTTGTTAAGTAATATGATGTGCTTTTAAATTCAAATTGACAATATACTATATATTTGAAATCATATAGCGAGATATATCTAACACTTGGTAAAAAAATAGTTGTCTAAATTTAACACATAAATTATATATGATAAAGCATGTTATTAGCTCTATCGCATATTATACACTAATATCGCATATAAAGACACAACTTCATAGATTTATACATAGAATTTTACTTAGATAATACTTAGTTACTCATAGTTTGTAATATTTGTGTAAAAACGTGTTCCATTTATCACGTCTTTATTTTCAGTATGCACGCATATATCACGTGCTTTCTTTTTTCCTTTTTAATTTTATTTTGTTCAGGATGGAAAAGTGTGAGTGAACATGTGCGAGCTGAGAGATATAAAAATTTGTATCTCTTCCTTTTTGCAGAAATGAAGTTCATGTTTTCCTTCATTCATTTCATATTTTTTCATTACGAAATTTACATGGTATCAGAGCTTAGGGCACAATCATGGCGCGCATACCGCCAAACCCATGGTCGGCGTTGAACGTCGGGCCCAACAACTCAGATCATCGTGAATAGGACCCCACATATTTGTAAAATTCTGATCAATGGAGACGTCACGAGGGCCGCGTTGATGGCAGAACAGCCTAGATCCTGGATTTTCAAAAAACTATTTGTACAACAACCTAGATCCTGGACACAGGAGCTACCAGACACATGTGCTCAAACCCAAATCTGCTCACTAACATCATTTTGCCTAAAAGATCCAATCTCAGTCTGTCTTCCAGATGGAACATTAAAGAGTGTAAAACATGCAGGAACATTGAGTCTCATGGAAGGGGTAACAATGGAAGAAGTACTGCTAGTTCCCACATTCAAGTTCAATCTTATATCAGTGGGATAACTCTGCCAAACACACAACATGAGGTGTACATTGTTAGAGTAGTATACCCGACGTTCCAATCAGATTGGACGTATTCTACTTGTAAATACAATCTATTGGAATTATATTAAATAATAAGGCATTACTTTATTTTAAGAGTAAACATTTTCATATATTTGCACTTAAGATAAAGTCCCTAGATCACATATAGCTATAAGATATGGTTGCGCATAGAGATGGTGATCATGGAACATATCTTGAAAGCTGTGATCTTAAATATAGTTCCAAGTCGTTGGATTTTTTGAGATGGGATATCGAATAATCCAGAAAAGACTTGCACATAGTATGTATGCTTGTTGGACAAGAATGTTGCATTCCATCAACATTAGCGTGGGACGCAAGTACATATATGTGGGTGCTTGTTAGAGAACAAGTTCACTGAACATGACCGTATGAAAATTCTTAATGAAAGATTTTTCTTGTCGAATAAGAATTTTCATGTTACAATAGTACATGATTAATCCTTAGACTTGAGGCACAATGGTAACTTTGTGCATATTATATTTTACTTTGATTTATCATTTTGATTGCTAGTACAATCGTATAAAGGGATATTTTGGGTATTATATTAATATGTATGGAAGTTTGTTAGTGGCCAACAAAGGATTCGACACTTATGAAGATAAGTGAATTTCCTATGTGTTTCATAGTTAGTAATTCAAAGTCCTTGGCCAAGGCGGGATGAATAGAGATTCATAAACGAATTACTAATCTTGAAATGGAATCATAGTTATTAAATCAATTTGGGTTTCGACAAAATCATACCCAAAGATTTAATCGGGAAATTAGATGTCGAAAGGATTTTACATGTATGGACTTGTAATCGAAATAAGTTTACTCGCTATTCACTTAATACTAGATTCATGCTACTTGCTAGATGTTCCCATGATATGTGGGTTCTTGAATTAAAGAGTTAATTCATGAATAAGAGTTAATAAGATTAACTCAAATTACAAAGAGTTGTAAACCCACTACTAGTATTAATTGTGAACCTAAAAGGTCACACCAATTTTTTGATCGAATGTAAAATTCAAATAGTAATTCTAAAGAGTTAAAATTAATTGACAAATATAATTTGATTAGATGTCAATTTATGGAATATATCAAATTAATCAATTAGATTGATTAATTGAATTTTGTATATTAATTTAGTAATTAATGGAATTACTAATTAATAGTTGAAATTTAAAATTGGATTTTAAATTTCAAATCCAAATAATAATAAGATTATTAAATGAGGATATGAAAGAAAAGATTAAAATAATAAAGTCTTGAAAAATGTTTTCAAGAATTATTATTTTATTATTTTATCTGTAATATGATTAAAGATTAAAATAATTAAGAGACAAAATAATGGTGGTTGATGGTGGTTAAGAACCACTCCACATTATTAATTAAAAGTCAATATTTGGTATGAATTTTTAAATAAAATCTGATTTTATTTAAAATAAATAAATATCCAATATTGATTATTTTATGCTAAAATGTTTAGTATAAATAGGTGCAAAATGTTTGCACATTTAATGCTAAGTCTTCCATTAAGTTTTTCTAAGTTTTCAATAGTTGAAAAAGAGAGATAAAAAGAAGTGTTCTTCATAATCCAAAACAAGAAAGAGTTCTTGTTTTGAATTTAGCTCTTGAGAAATTTTACAAAAAGGTTTTGTAAAGAAATTCAAAGAGTTGAATTATTTCTTTTAAAACAAGA